TCTACTTTCTGCATGAAAATACTGTAGAGAGCATGGACATTTAAAAAAAATATTAACTCCAAATAAAGGTATGGTCCTAATTCCTGTGTGTTTCTGAAGTAAGAGAGAGACCACAAGCTCATAAGGACTATTTTAAAAGTTGAGACTTCACTTATTTAACAAAACTGCTGCTATTGTTCACTGAAAAACGTCATGTCAATTAGGAGCTTCCTTATTCTCTTATAACTGTGAGTTATTTGGAGTAGTGAAAAAACCAATCCTCTATTAAATTTTTATATCTAATTCTTCTAAGTAAGCCAAGGAGGAGGATAGACTCAAGCTGCCCTAAAGTTCTTGAATAAGCATTTAGATCTGAGTAAAGCCCCATCTCTCATCTTCTAAGAGGTTTGGGGTTTTTTTTACCAATGTGGTGCTTTAAAGCCATGTGTAGGTGTGCAACTTATTTAATCTGTGCAACACAAAGAATCATGTGAAACAGCTCTCTACCGTTGTGAGACCAAGGCGTTTTGTAATACAATTAAGAACTTAATTTTCTCCATGGAGGGTTTTAAAGTTCATTTCCAAATTCAATTTAGGAAATTATGTATAAGTTGATGACACCCTGGTAGACCACTACAATATTTCTTTTTTTAAAAAGCAATCAAACAAAAAAGAACCATCTCCATACCAAATCTATTCCTAAAAACCTGAGTATTGCAAAAGTATTGATTTTTGTCTTGCTACTTCAGGGCTTGATTTTAATGCTTACTTTATCACACTTTGATGTTAATCCATTTAAGAAATTTTATATAGAAAGTTGCATGTTTCTTAGCAGTTACAAGTATACCCATAGTTTTTAAAGCCTGACATTAAGACTTCATTGTTTCTTTTCTGATACTGCAGCCTAGAAGTGAAAACTCTAGGCCATTCATCAATGTCGTCCTGTCTTAGGAATAAGCAATGCCAAACCATATCTGCCATTTTTGCCATTTCCATCCCATTCCCATCACTGTCAGAGTTATTTTCACCTTCTGCTCCTTTCAAGTTTTAAATCCTCACTTAACTGTATTCATACAGATGGAATTTTTATATTGAACATCTACATTAGTATAAAAATGCACTAAAATAGTTTAGTTCAAGGACTGTTCTGATTGCCATCAGGATTATCAAGCATTTCATAAGTTTGACTATATCACTGACAAGAACACCTCAAAAATCTTTTTATAACTCCAATTTGACTTATTTCTTCATTATGAACTGTATAAATTATTCAGCAATATGGTTTGTTATACAACTATAACTTGTATAGAATTCAGCTCCCTAACTTGAACAAGCACTACTGATTTTTGTTCAGAAAAAACCTGACAAATTCTGTCGAGAAATCTACCCTTCCCTGCAGTGCAGAAATGGAACACCATTTACCCTTTGAGAAGTCAGGCTCTGATAGCTTTGATTAGTTGTTCTTTTCTGTTACAAAGGGTAGACAGAAACCTGCACAACAGGTTGTGGGAGCTTGTTTCACACAAGGCTTTGTTTCAGTACAATTTTCAGAATTAATCAGAAACTTGAAACTTCTACTGACAAAAGCCAGCTCCAGTATTTAATCTTCTCAGTCTTGATCATGGAGGGTGCTAAGCACTACAACTCTTCACACACACACACACACACACACACACACGCACAGACATGCAAATACTGCATGTCTTCCAAAGGTTTAGTACTTCCTACCAGGTCTTACTTCCCAATTTTATTCTGATACTTTGTTATTGTGTCTACCTTTAAGTCATTATTGTATGCTGTTGTCTCATTATTTAAAACCTGCGAATGTTGGTTCTGAGAAGTGAATTCAAAGAAGTCAAAGCTACCTTGCCAAGTTTGACTTTTCTGTTTCTAGTTCATAATTTTTGTTAATAAACCTGTCAGGCAGGGTGTAATACCCAGTTTCTAGGTATTTAAACTCAGAACAGAAAATTAAGTTTCATCTCCATATATTCTAAAGTCAAGAGGCACTGGTAAAATCATGCCATTCTGCTTTCATTATCACAGACTACAATGAGGAAATAATTTGCTTAAATTTCTTTTTGTGCTGCTAAGATTGCTGTGAGAACACAATTTTCAGAAACATCTGTGAAACCATTACTACTTTACCTATTTTACAAGCAGGGAAACTGAGTCAGAGAAAGGTTCTTATGGCTTAGGCATGACTGCATATAAATTAATTGCGGTGCTAAGATTAAGGCTGAAGAATTAGTAACTATTGGGTGTTGACCCAGTTCACCAGAACACACTACCAGGGCACATTTTTTCCACATCGCAGAAATTCTTTTTGTAAACTACAGTGCTGGGCAACCCTGTAATTATGCACAGAGAGCTTTAGGACAAAAAAACCAATAATTTTTGGCTCAACAGGTTTACAAGGAGTGTCAGAAACTTACTCCCACTACCAACAATATTCATTCAAACAGCCATCTACTCAGGCCCTAATTCTCTTAGGCCACTTTGTACCGCTTGGACAGTAGTGGACGAAATGATCAAGTCCTTATAGTACAGCATAAGGACTAGTTCTTATAGCAGCCTCAGAAACCCTTACTAATTTCACTGAGGCTTTGTACTAGTGCAGAGATTAATTCATGTGGAACTAATTGCAGGACTGTGGCCTAAGTAAGAAACTGGTCTAGCTCTATTTGCTTGTTATCCAGTTGTCAAAATGTAGTGCTCATTAAGTGCTGAAACAAAAGGTCCAGATGGATTCTTTATATCTGAGAAATGTGTTTCCCATATAAAAAGCAAATAATCAGTAACACTGCAGTAGAATTTAAAACCTTATTGAAAAGAAGGGAAACTCTAAAGCAGGTCTTTTAATCAAGGAGAATTCAGGCCCTTCCTCTATGCAGTTTACCTAAAATAATCATTTATGCAAAATGCACTTTGACTACCTGAGTCTACAGAACATGAATGAAACTAAAACAAACACCTCTAGTCCCACTGCTCTCTCACAGTGGGAACTCCATGCTGGGTGCCTGTTGTAGTCTAATCACTTTTCTCCCATCCTGTAACACTCAGATTTTCTGTCCTACACAAGGCATTTCTGGACTCCCCTAATTTAACCAACCTGCTGAAGTCCCTAACAGCATGATCAGACAGACAGAGGTCACTAACATGAGAGTTACAGCTGTTCCCTTACATTAGAAGATGGCAATAAGCTAGTTTAGGAGGCATAGAGGCATGTTTTAGCTAGTAAAATTTGGCATGAAGATATTTTCTGCTGTATGGACGTATCAATCTAAAATCTGATTTTAAAACCCCCAAATCCACAAAGGGATTAAGAATTGGAACCAGCAGTTTCCAGAAGTGTTCAACGTTATGGCATTTTCAGGACGTACCCAAGTTCTAACACGACCTAGAGGTGAGCTTGAATACTCTGCTGCCTGCCATCACTGAGGATGCAGTTTCAGGAAGACTTTTAGGAAACCTAAGTCTGCCTATCTGCCAAAAAAGGGCAGTCCCACTCTTCTCCAAGGCACAATTGTATGTCCTTTTGAAAGTACGAACTTTTTTACAGCCATGCAAAGAAAGGAATTGACCCGGCTGAAAATTAACCCAGTAAAATAAATTCTTTTTGCAGCAGGATCAGTTCTCTGATCCAGCTTTCTACACAGCCACAATTAGCACAAATGCCAGTACTAGACAGTGGGGAAAAACATGGAGTCGGGAATGGGAAGGAGGAGTAGTTGAGTTTCATCATCTGTATGGTTAAGGAGTGTTCCAGATCCTGGCTGGATATAGAAAAACCTACATTAGTTATGCACCAAACCATTTAACATTCAGGAAATTGTAACTAGTTGTGTCAGTTAACTAAATAATTAACCAAATAAGCAACTAAAGCAGTTGGTGCCAAGTACAGGAAAAAATCTAGCTGAGAAGTTGTACACATGTACACAATCAAGTATCTTAAGGGTTGATGCCATGAGGACAGAGCCAGACTCTTTGCAGTGGTGTCCAGTGCCAGGACAAGGGGCAATGGGTACAAACTGAGACATAAGAGGTTTCAGTTGAACATGAGGAAGAACTTCTTTACTTTGAGGGAGACAGAGCACTGGAACAGGCTGCCCAGGGGGGCTGTGGAGTCTCCTTCTCTGGAGATATTCAAACCCCGCATGGACAATGTCCTGTGCAACCTGCTCTGGGTGAACCTGCTTTAGCAGGGGGTTGGACTGGATGATCTCCTGAGGTCCCTTCCAACCCTTGCCATTCTGTGATTCTGTGATTCTGTGAAGTTTAAGCTGCCACAGGTGGGCCTGTCTGTGGCTTCCATTTGTAAATATATCTCAAGCACCATTTATCTGTTCCCAGCAAGATAAATGGATCCAGGTACTCCCTTACCCCACTCCCTCAGGCATTGAAACCCAACACTTAATCATCCCATAAGACCTCCCAACCCTGATTAGCTGCTTCTTTGCAAGTGCCTATGTTTCTGAAGGTAGGCCTGTGTAAAACTACTTACCTCCTGATGCTGCTCTGCTGTGAAAAGACCTAACCACAATGGGATTCTCAAATACATCTGTCCTGGTTATCTCATCCAATCTGAAGCACATCTATGGATCAGGCCCCACAGAGTAAACAGGCTAGGACAAGACTTCTGAAGGTTGTTAGCTATCATGTATATGCATCACAAAAATGATTACACTCAAAATCCCAGAAGTCAAAGCCCTTGGCTGCAGTAGCAGGGACTGTTTCTTTTTCGTTAGTGCTCAAGATGAATCTTTTACATTAATTCAGATTTAAAAAAATAGCAGCACCAATAACCACCTGAATCTGTAGCAGTGAAAAATAATTTAAATGGCTTCAGTAGGACTACTCATTATAGCAGCTGATATCTGAGACAAATCAGGAGTGCAAACTGGGGCATAACAAAAACTGCATGTTACAATCAGATACATCAAGTACTATACAGATATTTGTGTTCAGATGTTACTACTACTTTAGAAGAGTATGTCATGATATCTTTTCTGTCTCTTCAGGTGTAATCCTTGGATTTTCTCTCCGATCATATAAGATGAGCTATCGGGAAGTCAAGTACTTTTCATTTCCAGGAGAATTACTCATGAGAATGCTGCAAATGCTGGTCCTGCCACTAATTGTATCCAGTTTAGTCACAGGTAAAAAAAGAAAGATTTTGTTTGTTCTTTTAAATAATCTGAGAAAGATGCACACACCAGATCATAACAAAAGGACATTCTATCTCCTAGAAAGTGTTATAACCTGCAGAAAGTGATACCTTTGCTGTTGTTGTCTTAGAGACAATGTAACAAAAGATTTGAATTAATATACAAAGAAGCTAAAAGATGCTTTTCCCAGTTCCAGGACAATCTTAACTGTAGAATTTACTACAGGCAGCTGCCATGAAGCTGACTCTGTACCCCACTTTCTCCACTCTTACTTTCTGAACAGTATTTCCTCCACAATGTCCTATTGTTATCAAAGGTAACGTATGTTCCAAGACTCAAGAAAGTTTAAACTATTGACCATGGGCAATAACCCATGCCTGTAGATCATCCTTCACGAGGATTTGAATTAACTTTCAAAATCCTAAGTGGAAACACCTTGCTCAGGTAAGATCAGCAAATCCACCTCAGAGAGTCACAAGGAGCTGGCCTTGTGATAAAACAGGCTGACTTCCCCTATCACCAGGTCTCAGCGGAGATTTTGTGAAATACCAGAACAATGAGTTTCCAACTAATTCTATTCTGAAAAGAATCTTGATCTCTGGATTCAGGCAATACCCTTCTTTTTGATACCTTTTTATTTTGTTTTAAATTCTTTGGAGCCCTTTATCCTGTTTTATGCCCTTTTTTCATAATGATAATTTCCTTTATAAAAGCTTTTGGCAAAGAGAAATTTATCTAAGATTTGTCTTATTATCATACAAGTGCCTTGCAATAGTAAGTGTATTATTCTTAGAGTTCCCTTTTGAAGTAGAGAAGGTAATTTTCAAGGTGAATAACAACATTTTAAACTTTTTTAGTCAGGCAGGGAAAAATCAGAGAAAACTCAATGCATTCCACAAACAACAGATTTCACTCTTTTAAAAAAATCATTAAATATGACAGGACTATGTCTTTTTTCATGGAATTAAAAGGCATTTCCTAGTTTATTGCTGAAAACTGAGGAAAATCTTTTGTCTATACTAAAAATAACTCATTTAGCATAGACTTTTTTTTTTTAAAAAAAGATGCTCTTACATATTTGCTGCAGAACTCTCATACTCAGGCAAATATACAGGTATTATTGAATATCTAAATAATAATGAACTATAACCTTTACAGGTGTACTACCATGCAATTTTATAGATGCTATCGGTTTCTTTTTTTTTTTATACATTGTAGGATAATTCATTGGATAAAAGTCTTGTGCTTCTCAAGTTAGTCTAAAGACCACTCTTGGCATCCATGAGCCAAATCTCTTATTTCTTGTATTTTATTTGGCAAAGCAAAGTGGATGCTTCTTAACTAACCTCAGAAAGATTCCTCCAGGGTCTTGCACACTGGTAATATAATTGCTTCTTCCAATTGTAAATTATCTGAATAAATATTTTTGCTGTTTGCAGGCATGACAGTGTCTGCCAGGTATGATGTTCTGGGTTTCCATTTGTATTTATATAAGCGTGCCCAATATAACTGGTTATGATAATATCAGAACATACGGTCTCTGAGGTACTAGAAATAGACTGGGGATGATTATATTCCTTCACAAATTTTGTGAATGTCAAAGAAATTAGAACAATAAAAACAAAGTGATAATTACAGAAGCTATGGGCTGTTACATAAGTGAAAGGTGCATTGAGAAACTGAAGACTTCTGCTATGCAGGTAAAAGTTCTGACAATTATTCACAGACTCTTGGGAAAATAAACTATAAGAGCTGAAGTCAACCCAGTCACATTTCTCTATAGCCTGTTTTGGTACTTTCATGAAAGAAATAGCACAGAATCACATTTAGAGGTTTTTATTCATGTTTGCCTTATGACTTAACCATTATTGTAGCTGGTTCAAGAAGGTATGCAGTTTTCTCCATGAGATTCTGTCTTCTGATGTGTGTGTTACCAGGCATGTACAAACACCTACTTGGGAGAAAATATAGGTTATTTGCATACCTTTCACCATCTTTTACTGTTTATAGGAAAATATGATTATATGAATATCTGTATTCTTCATCTTTTGTGGTTTAGACACAAAACCAGCTGCATATTCTGTGCTGGTCTTTATCCTCTACAGCCATTCAAATGGGAGAACTCCTAAGTCAGCATTCCCAATCAGCATCCCTTACAAAGTCAAAGGCAAAATTAAAGCACAGTACATGGGAGGTAGCATAAATAACCAAAGAAATAAATTAAATTCCCATTTTGATTATTATATGGCCAAATATGGCCTGAATTCTTATGCAAACACAGGGCTGACAATCTTGCTCCATTTCTGTTTTGAATTTGCTGCAGTTACAGGAGTTCATATATAGGAGCTTATACGTTCTTATTTCATTACAACTTGAAGTATTTCACATAAACAAATTGTTCAACACAATTATTTTAAAATATGCATTGTCCCTAAAAGTTATATAAAATAAATACATACACATATTCTAACAATTCAACTCATCATGTAATAGACAAAAACTGCAGGATTTGCACCATCAGTAAGAGCACTATGAATTAACATTTTCTGAGCTGTTACAGCAAGATCATAATGAAGTTGAAATTCCAGCTCTTAAAGCCATCTCACAAGTTTTCATCTGCGTGTTTCAGTTATTCACTGAACATAAGGGCATCAGAACAAGGTACCTTCTCTTAACCAAACCATATATTTCCTGAAATCACATTCATAAAAATTATTCATGACCAGTCTTTATAAAAGGTGTAGCTGGAGCATAACATTTGTGGCAAATAATTAAAGCTAGAGAACCTTTATAAGGGTTATTTGCAAATATTTTGCACAATTTTGGTCATAGCTCAGTTTAAAAGAGAGGCTGCTTCTCCTTCCCCAAAATTTTGGAAGCTTGGAATTTAGTTGTACAGGGACCACTACTTTTAAATGCAAGTAAACTAGGATTAAATTCTGTGCGTTGCTTTCAGATATATTTGTCTGGTAAAGTACAGCAAAGCATAAAAAGCCCTGTCAAGATCTGAGACTAATTTTTGCTGCACATTGCAGAAACAGTAAGAAAACAGTTCATTTACTAACATAAATCAAGCTGGGGAAAGAGAAAGGGAATGTAGAAACAGTGGAACAGCGAGGTCTGCTGGCTTGCCAAAGATTATATAGCAGGTCAGCAGTAACAGAATCAAGCAAAGATCCCAATCATGAATACCAGTACGAACACACTGTTCATTGGATGATAATGCTTGTCCAAACTGTTAATGGGAGTAACACTAATAGGGTACAAATGAGTCTTAATCTTAGACCAGGATTTTGTGTGCGAGATTCTGTACAAACACAGAGACTGTGAATTTTCTTACTCAAAAGAAGGCTGTATAGTAAAACAGTTTAGAAGACTGAATATGGAAGGTTTACCTCAAAGGAGAAAAACATCTTAGTGTGTTTTGTAGTATATCTTTGTTTATACCCACTCCCCTTTCTAATTTGAATAATGACATGACTGTCTTTTATGGATTCATAAATTTCCCTGCCTCTGATGCAGCCTTTCAGTAACTGACTACAACACTGACAACTGCAGGACATGCAAGTGACTTTCCTTTGGGCAGACTCAGAGATAAAAGCTTTTGTCACCTGACTTTTTCAACATGTTCATAGTATTTACCCCTACAAAAACTATAGAAAGTGCTGACAAAGTGCAGAAAGCTGGAATTCCCATGTGAGGGTGGCTCTTAACTAACCTCGGATGTACATATGATGCTTTTGATTTTAGCTATCAGAGGAGTACAATGAATGTTGACAATGTTAAAAACAAGTAGTAAGGAACATGGTCTATCTCCTCACTGAGATAAAACAAAGGCACACAAAGTGACTCAAGTAATAAACTAAAACACAAGCAGAGATCACAATTAACAGCCAAGTTGCAGACGCAGTTTCTTGCAATTACCTATAATGAAACAAGGATAATGGTCAAAGAAACCACTGAACTTGAAATAGTCTCCAAGCCACTCCCTTAGGTAAGTCAGGAAAAATGCAGCATCTGGATATGAACAGATTCAACTGCTGAAAAACCAAATTCTGCCCAAAGCAACTTACAGATGTAAAGTGCAGAAAATTAATACTGTGACATGTTAACCTTAGGCAAATCATGTTTCCCTTTTGTTTCCGTGTTTTCTTTCTCCTTTCAAATGTAGTGCTGGTGAAGTATTTTCGTAGCAAATAGGCAGAAAAGAAGATGACTATATATGATGGAAATTTTAATGGAGACATGTAGATTTAAGTTGTCACAGCTCAACAGATGCAAAGCATATACTTAAACAAGTAATTACAATAAGAAAAGTATGTGGGACCATCACTGACACAGCTGCTAATTTAGTCATATTGCTGTAGAGATGGAAATAAACTTAAACAAGTAATTACAACAAGAAAAGTATGTGGGACCATCACTGACACAGCTGCTGTGGAAGTGCTACACCCAAAGTTACCTAGTGACTGCTTGCAGCTAGCTATGATGATATCACCGATAGTCAGGCATAAATGGACTGTATTTTTTCACTAGACACAACTGTTTAACAGGAATATGTTAGCCACGAAGTTAAAAAAAATTAATAACTCCTGAAGCTAGCATATGGTGTGATGGACCTAAACTATGTTGTATGACAGGGAACGGTGCATCCAGATAGTAGCTGTACCCAGTCTTCTGTAAAGACATAATTCTAGAAAATAATACAGTCTCATGTTATTAAATTTAAGAAACTAAGTTTTACATCTGCCTTTCCAATATTTGGAATGAGGCAGTAAATGACCCATCAAGTGTAACTGCATGCAAATGCTATTAAAATCTTATCAAAACACCCATCCTTTAGTAAATTATTAGCATTTTTTTTTTCATTTTGACAACCGTAATGTCCTTTATTAACATAGTAAATTAATAGCAGTAAACATAAAGGAACACAATTTTAAATTTGCTCATCCTGACCCCTCACATCAGAGCACACAATAGGAAGGTGTCAT